TAAAGAGGTCATTGTGGTCTCATCTTATACCACCTGAGATGCAAAAAAGTGTCTTTCACTTTCAAGCTGGACTTCATTGCAACTAAAACTCAATCCCTATCAAAAGCATTTATTTTATTTGTAAATCGCCTCTTTTTTCAATGACAGTTCAAACTGGGTTGGACAGATGTTCACTTAAAACTATCCTCTCAGTCTTAAATTGTTCTTTTATTTCGTTAGACACATCTTTTCAGTGAAAAGCACTATTACCATTCAAACAAAATTGAAGAAGAATGAATGAATTGAAGAACAATGGGTGAAATTCAGCACCAGGCAACTTGGTGGGTATCAATAGTTTTGTTCACTTTTGCTCAGGTTCCATTTGGCCTACCTTGCTCACCTCAAATTGAATATATCATGCATGTTTAATGACTTTGTCCTGAAGTCAGAGAAATACTATAGAATTCCTTGTGGCTTCAGTCTGTTGGACACCACAAGTTGAAAAAATATATATTTTCCACTTAAAATATACATACCATGTAACATATATAAAATATATGAACTATACATACACACGTTCATATACATACTCAGTATAATAGTTCCATGAACTATGCCACTTCTTTTTATACCATAATTGCACAAATCTGGACTATTTTAATGCTCAGCTTAACTATGATATTTTGACCTTCAATAAAAAGATATAGATAATACAGCAAACACTACAGATACCTGAAAGTAACAGGAAACCCTTTCTTCTCCACAGAAGAACAGTTATGTCTGCATAACCACAGCTCGGTAGAAACTAACGTGTGCAATACTGTCTATCGTTAGATTTTCTTCTTGTTATCTGATGCTAAACATGTATACATTGTCACATTATTGGTTTTAATATTTTTTCTTTACTTGACTTTCCAAGCACAAAAAAAAAAAACCAGATATGCAAATAAAAGGTGCAATCTAAGCAATAGACTCTTTGCTCATTGAGTTATAGAAACATCTGCTGTGGAACAGGAAGAATTCTTCTTGTTAAGATATGTACTTGCTCTGGGTATGTGAAGCAGCAATCCAAAGGAAAATGTTGATGTAGTGTGTGTCACTTTCACTTAGGACTATTGAAAACATGAACTACACATTAGCTTAGAACAGTAGGGGAAAAAATCCTGCACTGGTAAGTAAGCTAGGTGAACTAATAGGCCCATTCATTTCCAAAATCTCATGTTGCAGTGAAGGAAGTTCTGCTACCAACAACCATAAGGCAAAATGGAACACCGAAGGATACTAACTAAACAGAAATGCATACAGAGGGGAAAAGATTATGCTGTACACTTTTAACCTCATGTTTCTGAGTACTGAATTGCCAACACAGTTTATATTCTATGAAAACATAAAATGAATCATGAATGCCGCGTGCCCCCGGAGGCTGGGGTGGCACAGAGAGCTCCTGCAGGCGGCAGCGGCGGCACTGTCAACGGCGAGAGTGTGGCAGTGGCAAGCAGTGGACTCCCACAGGCAGCCATGGCATTGTCAGCAGCGGGGCGAGAGGGTGGTGAGCAGGGACCGCCTGCAGGTACCACCAGCAGTGCCTTTTTGCAGGGAGTGCATCACCAAGCTCGGGGGGATGCACATGCACTCACTATGCATTGCCAGTGAAATGAATGTAGGTCACCTTATGTAACATTTTTTTTGATGGGGCTAGACAATTATTTCTACATTAAAATTTTCAACTACTTAATAACATATTTGCTATGGCTACAATAAAAGTATGTGCAACAGGGAGCCAGAGACTCCTGTTATGGAACAGAACCAGACTTGCTGTAACAGCCGCAGAGTGAGCAAACAAGCAAGCAAAATAAGATGCAGCAGGGAGCTGCCCATTAGTCCTTAATTAGAAAGATAATGGGAAGATGGAAACAAGGCTATGTTCAGAAGCCAGAGAGGTAGCAAAGGAATGGAAAGTGGGGTGGGGGGCACAGGCATGGGAGGAAGCCCTGCAGAAGAACAGCACCCTCTCACAAGGAGTGGGGAAAAAGATAGATAGCACTGAAGAACCCTGGTAGGGTATTGGGCTTCAGGAGCTGGGCAGTGAGAAACCCAGGGGTGAGTTGCCTGAACAGACTTCATTTGCCCTACTAGACCAGCCAGTTCTACTCCTGGCTGGGCATTGCCTGACCTGGGGTAGGATGACTTAGACACAGTGTACCTTCTTTGCCCCGAGGTAGGATGCAGTGTGTTAAGGTGGGAGCCAGAACTTCAGTTTGTTTTCTAACTGGTGGTTTGGGTTTGGGATTGTCAGGGAAAGGAGGACGTCCCAATAGTGCTTGAGGGCACAAGGAGGTCTTGAGCCCTGCAAAGGGTTAGGGCTCAAGACACAGAGCAGACCTAGCCAGAGGACTGAAGCTTGGTGAAAGGAGCTGGATCCTAGCAAGCCAGACAGGGCCGGGGGCCCAATAGGGGCAGAGACCGGGGCCAGAGTCCCAGAGTAAGAGATACAAGAGCTGGAGGCCCAGAGACACAGCTAAAGGGCTGAGGCTGAGAGAGCCAGACTCAAGTCAGTGGGCCAGGGCTGGAGGCTTGCAGCCAGAGCAAAGGGGCAGAGAATGAAAGGACCGAGGTCCCAAAAAGGGAGTGACTGTGGAGTGACATCTGTGAGGCATGGGCATGAGGTAATGGACAGTTGGAGCACATAATAAGCCCTGAAGGCACAAAGTAATAAGACTGAAGCTCAGAAATGGATGACATCTCATTCTGAGTTCCCAAGGAAAGCCTCCCTTTTATAACTACTTATCTATATCAAGGTGTGGTAGGCAAGGAAAAGGGGAGAGTGTTTAAGTGACCAAAGGCACAACAGGAGCAGGATGACCAGCAGGGGGCATCCTGATCACCCCTGGGGTCCTTGCCTGTTATGGTATGGTGAATATGTTGGACCAAATTCCCCTCTTACTCACAAAGTTGATTTTGTTGGGCTTATGATGAATGACTACTCAGAAACATTTCTGCAACTTTTTTTGTAACTATAGGTAAGTTGGATCATATTTAACTGAGGTTACATAATTTACAAAATGCTTAAAGTAGATATAGGAAAGGTGCATGATAGCACCAAAAGACATATAATACCACCCATAATCATTTAAACTGCAATGCACATCCAATTATTAGGGTAATTTCAATCAAATCAGATTGTGCCAGAGGGAACACACAGAATTCCCCATTCCACTTTTTCAAAATGAAGAGCAGGTTCCTTTAAGAACATACAGATTATAAACCAATTTAGTGATAGATACAAATTCTGCCAACTGCCTCCTACAATGAGTTTTACAAGTTTCCAGAGACAGCTTCACATTTTGTTCTCAGTATTTTTGTTTGAGTAAAATGTTTCAGTTTACATCTTAATTTTAAAAGACTGAAAGCATCATGAAGGACAATTTTAATCAACTTTTATGTGCATGTACGATGCAGACTGTGAAAGCTAAAATACTCTACAGTTTGAAAGAAATTGGGATGTTGTGCATCATACATTTTGAAACTGTAGCTGAATGTCAGTGGATGGCAAAGTAATTTGCCACATACTACCTAGGAAGAAATTTAAAATAATCATTTTTAGTGTGGGAACCCTATCAGCAGATTCTTAAATTAGTAGAAAATGCTAAAAGATCTCATGGAGTGATAACCTGATTATGTACAGTGCTTTTTATAACCTAACAAAAAGTACAATACAATGGAAATTGGCATAGATTTAAAAAGTAACAATAGAGGATAAAGAATAGGAAAGCACACAGATGGATTTATTGAAGGCTTTGCAAGTAGCTGTGGAAGTGAATAGCTCATTCTACTCCTTAATATCTTAATGTGCTGGTAAATGTAATGTAATTCAGTGGGGCTCTGCACATGAAGTTCTATTATAAATCTGTTCTGCTATTTTAGGACACTATAAAATAAAAAAAAAACCAAAAAACTTGTTGTGTCATGTTGGACTACCATCCTGCATGCTCTCTGGCTCCATTTTCACTATATTTCAGTGAAATTAATAATGGGCAAGATAGCCATACTAGTAACTGCTATGGCCAAAAAAAAATTATGGGCAACTAGACATCAGCTTGGAATCATCTTATGATTAAAATGACATGCAAATTTGTTTTCAAACCACAATTATGAAACAATCTGCAAGACAAAAGGAATAGCAGTCTCTGAAGATACTAATTGGACAAATTAATTCAGCTAATCCTGAGTCTTCCTAATTATCTATGGGATTCACTGTAAATATACAATATTAAAAGGTAAACTTTCTTTTGTTAGCTAACTTGTTACTGTCAGCTAGTAAAGCAGCATATATTAAATGCAACTGTTGATGTTAACATATCAATGTATTGACTTTGTCCTGCCATTCACCACACCCATAAGATATAATAAGTAAATCATCAGTCCACATTAAGCAGATATCACTTCAGCATAGCTAAGTATCATCAATATTGTAAGTGGTGCTGCCAGTATAGGTCATGTTGGACAGTGCAGGCACCTCCACCTCTGGGAAGCTGGCCCTTAGGTTTAGACAGCCTGGCCTTCAGCGTGGCTTACATATGCTGCAACCCAGGTGTACCCTGCACAAGGGTGACATTTGGCGCTCCGCCTCCTCTTCCCTTCCAGATGCCAACTGGATGCTGGGGTGGTGATAACTTTCAGATCCTGAGGTAGTATGCTCCTGCCATCATGGATAATATCAGTTCCAAGTGGAAAAAAACTGAGCATGCTCGTACACACTGCATTGCCAACTACTCTGATTTCCTACCCAGATGTGGGTTTGCCCACAAAATTAATACTCCAAATCAATTCATGCCTTGGTTCTCAGCGTAACAAAATTAATAAATTCATCAGTTCCACTGGTCTCACTGACTGTAATTTACTTGAACCATCCCCTTTGTGGTTCTGCTATCAATTACCCAGTTCAATATACTTGACCAGCAGCATTCTCACTAACAGTTAAGGTCCACATACAAAAGCAAAAGTCCATTTACATCACTTACATGTCCCCAGGAAAGGTCAGCTCTGTCTTTATCCACATGTTGTTGGATGCTGTCGCTGTGGAAGAAGGATCAGGTGCTCTTCGTCTCAGCTCCCAGTGCGTTCCACACCACTCCAGCTGCTCTGTCTCTTGCCAGCACCGGACTTCCAGTTATACCAGCAGTTTCTGCACACCCACCTATGCAGAGCAAACAGGAACTTGTAAAGTGTGGCTACCGCCACTCTTGCCACTTCTCTGCTGTTGCCACCACTGCTGCCCCTGAAGGTATGTGGGGATCATCTCCAGCTCTCATCAGGCTTTTACACAGCCTCCCCATGCTGCTCATGGGTCTTCTAGGGGCCTTTCTTCCCCAGCTCACCCCCCACAGGGGCTCCCTGCTCCTACAGATATATACAAGCCACCCTCTGCCATGTTGTCAATTACATCTCTACCTATTTATGACCAGACAACCTTATATGCAGATGGTTTTAACTATCAAACATTAAGACTGGGGGTACTCCATTAACAATAGCAATGGAGACAATCTTTGTCTCTGGGCAACCCCAAATTATACAACTTGATGGAGCCACATATTTTCTACTCTGGATGCTGGAATGTTTTGATAAACCCAGATCTTGCCTGGTGGAAGGCAACTCAAGTAAAATACCAATAAGAAAATTACTTGACAAGTTTCCATCATCTCAGCACAGACCCTCACTCATCAGCACTGACGATATGATTTTTCAGCCAACACCATCCAGACTAGCTCCAAGATGGAACTTTTCGAAGGTGGACTGGCAGAAATACCAAAGGCTGACCAACAAGAGAGCAAACCAATTAGATGACCCACCAGAAACTAACATTGATCAAGGCTACAATGCATTTACAAACTGCCTTATTGAAATAGCCAATGTGTGTACCTAGAGGCTATAGAAGCCATTATGTGCCATGCTGAGACAAGCAGTGCGAAAAGCTCTAACATCAAGCAATATAATGACCCTGCAACTACAAAAAGAATTACAGAACCACTGGCTACCACACTGAACAATATCAAAAAGGAGAGATAGCTCACTACCATACAAGAAGTTGATAGGACTCACTAACAAATCAGCATAGTGCATCATTAACCGGCACCAAAAAAATGACATTGCCCTATGTCAGCAAACTCCATCGTGAAATACTGTGCAACAACTGCAACAGCAAGTACAGCAACCCAGATAAGAAACACATAGAAATGATTAGACACCTGACTCATGAACAACTTAAAAAAAAAATCACCCAACATAAAGCTTAATTTAAACTGCCTCCATCTCTGACAACAAGTTTGACACAACTATTAAAATGTGATCAAGACTGGCCAAGCCGTACACCAGATAAGATATTCCCAGAGTTTATCACCAAGCTTGGAAACACAGTGAAAGCTGGCTTCAGAAATTCACATATAAGTGTCTAGAAAGTAACAGACTTCCAAACTTCTGGAGAAAAGCTCACATCATTGCTATCCTGAAACTCAATAAACCACCAGAGGATCCAAAGAGTTAAACTCATCTCATTACTCTGCATTTACATACAAACTCATGGAGCACATAATCTTGAACAGAACAGAGAATATCACTGACCCCCAAGTTCCCAAAAGAACAAGCTAGCTTTCAGAAAAAGCAGTGTACCACTGACAAAGTTACATTACTTACACCTGACATAGAAAACAGATATGAAATGAGGCAGAAAACAAGTGCAGTCTTTATTGACCTTACAGCCACCTATGACACCAAGGCCTCAAAATATAAACTGCACTCTATGGTACCTGATTGCAAGCTATGCACTTTCATAACAAACATGATCTACAGCAGATCATTCAAACTCATTAGCAGCCAAGGAGAAAAAAAGCACACTATGAACTCCAAAGAAAGGTCAGTGCTAGCACCAAAACTTTTCAATGTGTATGCCTCAGACTTCCCACATACAGCATCTAAGCAATACATGTACTCTGACAACGTCACCATAGTAGCTCAAGGAATAGACATGACAGAATTGAAAAAAAGATACTGAGTACTGACATGGAACTCATTGCTATCTCCACAAGTGGCGCTTAAAGTTGAGCATCAATAAATCACTGTCATCAGTCTTTCATGTGGACAATCGTCAGGCTAAGGCCACACTGAATATCAGAGTAGGCAACCACATCCTTCCCAAGAGCATACCCCAACCTACCTTGAAGTCACATTTAACCATTCCCTTACCTATAAACTTCACATCCAGAAGCTCAGAAGTAATGTCTCTGGATAGGTAGCTGCCTTAAGATGTTTAGCCAGTATGACATGGGGTGCCAACTTCAAAGAGCTCAGAACCACCACACTTGCAAATGGTATGTGCCCCAGCAGAATACTGTGCTCCTATATGGTCCAGATGGTGTCACTAAAAAGTTTGACACTGTACTTAACAGTGCACTGAGACTCATAACAGGCTGCACACCATACACACACACAGATGTACTCCCTGTACTCTCGGGCACTGGATCAAGTGATATAAGATGACAGACCCCAACATCATTACTGACAAGTGACAATTAATGACGAAAATCACCTGCTCATCAACTGCTAACTGAAGACTCAAGCAGATGGAAGCTTAAGAGGCTTAAAAGTCAGAAACTCTTTATACATGAATCCCACAAGCTTCCGGGATAGATTGGGGATGCTGAACCAAACCTATGGGCAGCAATGGAGTGGGCTAACCGCTGGGAAAGGTCAGACCTGTTCCTATAGCATTTTATACCAACACCAAATGAGTCCCCCATTGGGCACAATCTTGATAGAACAACACTTCACAAAGATGAACATCTTGGACAGCCCCCTGTGTGAATGCAGCGTCGAACAAACAGCACAGCACTTATTTGAAAGCTGCAATCTTTACAAAAGCCCAGATGGGGCAGATGGAATATGCACATTGAGTGATGATACCAGACAGTGGCTCATTAGATTTGGAAGTTGATATCTGACACCATACAAAAGAAAGAAGAAAAATGGCCAATATCCCCCAAAATGCCCCATTGAAGTCAATGGAACTCCACGCAGGAGTAGATGTAGATGTAAATCTTTGTTGGGTAAGGACCTATTTCTTCACATTCTAATCACAATTATTTATTCTTTATTTTCCACTTCCCTCTCGCAAGTCAGCACCCAGAACTGCTGCCCCAGTCACCCTTCCTTAGTTACACTACTGGATGTTTTGCCTCTGTGCTGTTCCTCTGGCTCTTCTTCCCAGGACATTAGCATGTTGCCACCCCTCACTCCAGAGAAGCAGGTAGCTATCGCCATCATGAAGCTAGCCACCCCCAGCAGTTTCTGCTACATTGCCAGCCAGTTAGTATGGGTAAATCCATGGCCAGAGAGGCTATCCAGAAGGTCTGCCTGGTCATCCAGAATATCCTGGCCAACCACTTTATATACCTCACCAACCCACAGGAAGTAGTCACCAGCTTCCACCACATAGGCTTTCCCACTTGCAGAGGGGCCATGGATAGCACCCACATTCCCATCCTCTGTCCACTCCAAGGCACCTGGGTGTTCATAAACTGCAAAGGCTACTTCTCCATCATCCTGCAAGAAATCATTGACCACCAGGGCTGCTTCACCCACATCTTCAACAGCTGGCTGGGGAGCAACCATGATGCCTCCATGTTCTGCAACTCTGCACTCTCTTAGATGATGGATAGTGGGCACTATGCTTCTGAAGTTCCCAGTTTCACAGCACCATAGCCATCTTTCCCTCATTAACAGGGAGCCAGTTTAACTTCTCCTGCCCTGGCTCATGAAGCCCTACGGGGGGGGGACAGATGGAATGCCAAAAGGAGCACCTCAACTACTGCCCAGACAGGTGCTGCATGACTGTAGAGTGTACCTCAGCTGCCTCAAGGCATGCTGGCAGGCTCTTATCACATGTCTTGAGGTGCAGGAGGAGAACCTGCTATGCCTTATTGTTGTCACGTGTGTCCCCCACAAAATCTGCAAGACCAAGGAAGGGTAGAGGACGCATGGTGTGTGGACCTGACATGGCACATTGTGCATGTGTGGTACAGAGAGGCTTGAGAACATGAATCTCCACGCTGATGTTAACTATATTACTGTGGGGGGGCTTGATTCTAACAGAAGCCCTGAAATTGACTGGATCCAGGGCTGCTAATAACAGTATTAATACCAGTGAGATAGGCCAGGAGCACTAACTGCTCAGGTCCTCATTGTCAAATGAGCACACCCCATGAAGTTCAAACTAATAGACATCTTGCCCATGTCAAACAAAATGTAAAGTTACTTCAGTTAAATCATGAATGCCACGTGCCCCCGGAGGCTGGGGGGGGCATGGCGAGCTCCCACAGGTGGCAGCACTGTCAGCAGTGGGAGCGTGTCAGAGGCAAATGAGGAGCTGCCACAGGCAGCTGCAGCACTGTCGACAGTGGGGGGTGGGGGTGGTGAGTGCCGACCAGTTGTCAGTGGCCACCTGCAGACACCGCCAGCAGTGGTGGTGGTCAGTGGCAATTGTGGACTGCCCACAGATGCCGCCAGTAATGTTGGCAGCAGATGATGCACGTGCACGCCCTACACATCGCCAATGAGTTAAATGGCTCTGTGGTGGTGGTAGGCTTTTTCACAGAGCAGAAAAAGGTGTCTACATAAGTGGTTGGTAACATCTAAGGACCACAGGCCAGAACAGCCCAGCTTGGGTCTCAGGCAGGTTGGCATTGTGACAGGGCTGCCACCACAGCAGTGGCAGCTTTTCCCAGCCACTTTCTCCCTTTTCCCAGCAGGGTGGATTAAGTGATCTTGTGGGCCATATGTAAACCAGGAGTTGGCAACATTATACCCACAACTTTCTTCTCTTGGTGTCTCAGTTGAGAAGGCAAAGGTTGACTGGGGATGAAAGTTGTACATGCACCACTAGTCTTCTAGGTGGTCCTGACATACTGAAGTGATGGCCCCTCAGTGGGTAGCATGTGAAGCATACACAGCATTTGTACTTCTTCGATGGATAAATGGAGCTAGTTTTCAAAAACTGTCATGCTGACACTTTTCATTAGTATGATTACCCCTCCCTTTTTAAAATAACCTAAGTTAGCAAGTTGTCGATAATAACAGTTGGTTTGCTAAGTAAAGTAAGAATTAA